CCAGTTCCTGTAACCGTTCTTCATATGTTTTAGTCTCCAGTCCCCTAATCATCCTGGTTGCTCTTCTCTGCACTTTTTATTTATTTAGCTGAGTGTCATATCTAATTTGAAGATAACTTTTTAAGGATTTTAAGGCATCATATAACCTGTCATTTTGTCACTGCATGTTAGTATTTGTATGCACAATCAGACTGTCACTGCATCATTCAAACATGCTTGAAACCTCAATAGATTAAATAAGAGCCTCATCACTGTATTCATTTATACTATTAAAGATTAATTTACACTGGGGTTATGTTTTTTTTTTAATATGTTTGATCTGTGCTGTTTGGCTAGTTTGTGAGTCAATGTATTGTAGAACCCTGAAAATAGTTCATGAAATCAGGAGGTACACTCAGGAGTGGTATTCAGCGAGTCCTGAAAGGTTCGGAAATTTTGAGTAGTTCGAAGAATTGGCAAATAGGCTGGCCCCGCCCCTGTTGCCTCCCAGCTGATCATCTTTTGTTGCCCTACACAGGAGAACGGAGCTAGAAAGCAGGTTAGTGGGGTGGGCAGGGAATGGAGATTTTGCTGTATCCTTCCTCTGCCATGCCCAACAAGCCACTCCACACCCACCAGGCCACGCCCACAGAATCAGTAATAAAAAATTGAATCCCACCACTGGGTACGCTACTGCATAAATAAATGATTGTAATCAATGGACAAATTGTCTTATGGGGGGGGGGATACTTAATTTTTGTGACTGTTAACTTGGCTGGTATTGTGAATTACCTGATCCACTTATCCATGTGTGCCCATGCATATAATCTCTTCTATAATTTCAGTTTAGCAAATAAAGGACAAGTGAATTCCCGTGTCTCAAAATCCTCTACATAACCAGATGAAAAACTATTCTGTGGGCCAGGATTTTTTAAATATTTCCTGAGATCCTCTATGTAGGAAATATAGATCAAAGAAGTAAGTTGAAAATGATTTTCAAATTGCATACCTGTATAGGAAATACAACTTCAACCATATTGTCATAATAAAATAATAGTGCTGAAAATAATAGTGTGCAATCTAAATGAATAGCTAGTTAATGAATTCGCTACACATAGCAAAACATCATTTAAAAGCACTGTGAATAATTCTTACACGAAACCTTTCCAAAACCATTTGCAAAATATGAATCATTTTCTAAAATAATGGTAGAATTGGATGGCTTCCAGATTATACATCTGTTCCAAGATTTAAAAGGAAATACGTTTTACAATATAGAGAAAGAAAGAAAAAACCCACTTGATTCATTTTGTGAGAATTATGTGGAATCTTCTGAGACATTTGGGGGGGGGGGAGAGAGAGAGATTCAAAGTGACTGCAAATTCTGCATTGTATTTTAGAGCCCATGAAATTTTGTAGAAAGGGCACCAGATCTGAGGGGATTTTCTCCCATGTATCTCCTATATCCATGATAGCGATCCTATGACACATGTGCCAAAGGTAACATGCAGCACCCTCTCTGATGGCCCACAAGCCGTCGCCCCAGTAAAGCTCTGCTACGCATGCAACTGATCTTTGGGTCTCTGTCGCACATGCGCAGGGGGGACAGGGCACCTGGGGGGAGGGTGATGCATGCATATGCATGGGGCGGGATGTGTGCTGGGGGGGTGGGTGTCATGCAGTGGTGGGTTTCAAAAATTGTTCGAACCTACTCTGTGGGTGTGGCCTCCTTTGTGGGAGGGGCTTGCCGCTCATGTCACCGGATGGGAGGGGCTTGCCGCCCATGTGACCGGATATGAAGATGCCGGCGACACTTGTCAGAACCACCTTAAATTACCTCCCACACAGCACTGGCATGCATAAGAATATGATGTAAACTTGTTTTCTAAAAGGCATCTTTGGTTTGCGTTAAAACAACTTCAACACACGCAATGTTCTGATTGCACCACAAACGCAGTAGTCATCCTTACCTTTCACAGAGGCACTGAGTTTTATGAATATGAGCATGATAGTGTAGAATAATCATATCCAAGGACTAGTGGTGGGTTTCAAAATTTTTTGGAATCTCTTCTGTAGGTATGGCCTGCTTTCCGGGTCCACTGGTGGAACCTCTTCTAACTGGTTCGGTAGATTTGACGAACCGGTTCTACCGAATAGGTGCGAACTAAGCCCCGCCTTCTTCCCCCCTACTTCATATTCTTCTGCATGCCAGTGCTGTGTGTGAGGTAATTTAAGGTGGTTCTGACAAGTGTCGTCGGCATCTTCATATCCGGTCACATGGGCGGCAAGCCACTCCCATCCAGTCACATGGGTGGCAAGCCACTCCCACAAAGGAGGCCCCACCCACAGAGTGGGTTCAAACAATTTTTGAAACCCACCACTGTAGTAAGTCGAGGACTACCTGCAACCTCTTCTACTGTCGGCCTGGGCTCCTTCCTCTCACTACCCTCACTGGTTTTGTTTTTAAATTACGGAGCAGGCCCTTCTAAAGCTCTACTGCGTGTAGATGTGAGAAACAATTTGCTCAGCTCCTGATAAGAGAGACACCAGCGTTAGTGGTGGTTCGTAGGTGGCCACTCTCTCTCGCTGTGTGCGCGTGTATGTTGCGGTGTATATATCACAACAAGGTCAGGGAAAACATTTTCCTTTGAAATGAAAAAGGAGGCAAAAACAAGAATTTTAATAACAGACTTGACACAAGAGCCAGGGTAATCCTGGCATGAATTACGCTCGGTAGTAAGCTTTTATTGGCAACCGCAGATTGCTTTGTTCCTCTTCCTGACATAATATTCAAGGCTGGGTTTATGTTTGCCCAGAACTTGGTGCCTGTTTGCTCAAGTCCATGCAAATCAAAGGCTTGATTTATGCACCGTTCCATGGGAGGGTGGGACGTTACATTTAATTTTGCGAAGGACGCTGGAGGTGCCAGGCTGCCCTGGGCTGACATTGTGAACTAGGCAGAAAAGGGCAGGGAAATTCATTACCGTTTCCAATATGCGAAAATGCTGCATTTGAATGAAACATTTGTCTCTTGTCAAAATGGAGTAATGTCTGCTGCTGTTGGTGTGCGTGTACACAGACCCACAAAATATATCCCGTTTCCGCCCCCCCCCCCCCACACACACCCCACACCCAACCTTTGGGTTTTATTGTCAGTTCAGCAAACTGGATGTCTGGATTATGGATGTAACTTTTTGGAGAACAGGAGAATTACGAAAAGGTGGGCAAGAAACAGATAGCGACTTAGGTTGAGGTCCTCAAGGATTATGTTCATTATATAAGATGCAGGGGTGGGCTTCAAAAATTTTAGCAAGCAGTTCTCTGCCTGGTTGCTGGGTGGGCGTGGCCTAGTCGGCCTCCTGCACCACAGTGGGAGAGTGGTTTTGTCCTCCCTGGGTTCCAGATGCTTTTTCCGAGCCTCCGGGAGGGCGACAACGGCCTCCTCAGGGTCTGGAGGCTCTCTGCAGGCCAGAAATGGGCCCGTTTCTGGCCTTCCCAAACTTCCAGTAGGTCCAGAACTTTGCCTTCCCCGAGCCTCCCCGTGCACCTTGCACTTACCTCCATCCAAAACAGGCTGTGTGGTGACTCCTGGGATGGGAGTGGAGGGGTGGGCAGGGCCAGCCAGGAGTGGGATTTGGGGGTTGTCTGAACTGCATAGAATCTTAGCTAAAGGTTCTCCCAAACCCCTGTGAACCCCTAGCAGCCCACCCCTGTCTGAGAACAACCTTAATAGACCACTGATCTACACAACATACTATTCTCCTTCCAAAGCTAGTCTTCCAGTGGTTAATGGGACCTCAAGCTCCACCGACCACAAGCAGTAGGGATAATTGTCAGGGAATGTGAAAGCTAAAGCTTGAGAAGACCTACCAGACCAAGTGATGATCACCCCTGTATCTAGCTTGATAAGATGTACCTCTTGAGAGTCTTTCATGTCTTTCTGTAGAGACACAGTCACCAACAACTGAGTTTAAACATGCTTGGGATAAACCCGTGGGCATCATCCAACAAAAATAAAAAATAATAAAATATTTTAAAATAATCATTAAAGATAATAAATAAATTAAAAAGAAAAACTAATGAACTCAAAGGGCAGATTCAATGGACTACTAGATACTTTTCTGCTGTCAGTTTTCTGTTCTGAACCCCCCTCGGCCCACACCAAAGCACTCCAAGCCAAAGATACTTTACGGAATTTATTCACAGACAGACAGGTCCTTGGCAGCAGTCTAGCACAGACAAGCCTTGGCAGCAATCCAGCCTGCCAAGCTAACACCGCAGTTCTCCAACATTAGTTAATGTGCTGACTTCTGCAAAAGGGGCGTATGCACAAGCATTCCTTTTATAGTCTGGAGAGGAGCCTAAGTACCACCAGCTGAGTGCAATTACCTCCTCTAACTGCGTAACTGTTCTTTACGCCTATTAGCTCTCTGGTGACGGGCATCTAGGAACAACTCCCTTGGCTTCTCCCCACTGCTGACGTCCGGATCACACTCCCTT